TTTATTAATATTAGGTTAAATCCCTATTTTGGTCCCTGAACTATTGTACGGACACCAAATTTGGTCCCTAAACTAAAGAAATCCCTAATTTAGTCCTTAAACTATTGTACGGACCCCCAAGTTAGTCCCTAAACTATTATACGGATCTCCAATTTGATCCATACTGTTTACCAATTTGGTCCCTACTGTTTACCAATTTAGCCCCAACTTGGTCCTTCTATTAAATAATAACTCAGGGACCAAATTGGAGCGAAATTGTAAACAGTAAAGACCAAATTGAGGGTCTGTAAAATAGTTCAAGGACCAAATTAAGTCAAATTATAAACAATGGGGACCAAATCAGGGATTTCTTTAGTTTAAGGACCAAATCGAGGGTCCGTACAATAGTTCAGGGACCAAAATGGGGATTTAACCTTAATATTAATATATATATTTAAAAATTAAATATATATTATAATATAATAGATTTTAAAATTTAAATATAAATATTTAATACGTTAAGTTTCTAAATTTTTAATTGGAATCTTTTTGGTAAAAAAATAAGTTTTGATTAAACAAAACAAATATTAAAACTTTAATTTTTTTAGAATTGAGATTGATATGCATAATTCTTTATAAATTATTATATTTAAGGAACATATATTATCAATCTCTTTTAATTTTTTAACTAATTTACCTTTTTTTTTCTTTTTCTTTTTTGAACAAGTTGACAAGAGGTTGGGCCGAACCCCAGCCCAGGGGGAGGGCGGAGGGGGGAGTGCACCGTGAGGTAGCTATTGCTACTTAACCTGAAGAGTTAGGTGCAACTAATTTACCTTCTTATTATGTTTTAACTATGAATTATTTATTTCATTCAACCAAACAAGCCTAAAAAGTGGTAGCTTAGTTTTTCTTTTTAATTATATTAAAAAATTAGTTACTTGATATTATAAAAATTTAGACATTCAACTATAACTCTAAATTAAAGTAAAGTTTGTAAATTGGCCATTAATAATTTCATTCAGTTATTGTTTTTTTTTTAATAGATTAAAATTATTTACATGTATTAATTATAAGAAGAAAAAGGGAATCTATAAAGTTCAAACACGTCACCCAACATGAGGTGAACGATCCTAATTTAGAGTTCATATCACTAAGTCGGAGTAAACTGTTCATTCCACTAAGTTATTGTTGATTAGTAAAGAAACTTAGTAATTAATGACACTATTAATAAATGTTTAATTTTTTATGAGGCTAATAAATAAATAATTTCTCATAAAATCTCTGTTTTCAATGTGAATGAATTGTTTTTTATTTGCTCATAGACATATTAATCTTAAAATACAAATTAATTGATATGGGGGCATAACAGTTAAAAAGGAAAAAGAAAAAAATAAAAAAGGCTAATCATTGAGGTTAAA